CAGAATGCAGTGTGGGTCATACCAGGTAGGGCAATAATACCAGCTAGTTCACATGAGGGCCAGTACTGAGGGCTGGCCAAGATGGGCTATGTCCTAGCCCCACCAGCATGACCTGGCATTAAGGTTGGGCCAGGCCCAGCCAGGCTACAGCACCTAAAGGCAAATGCTGACGTGGGCCTGATCTTGTCAGACTGAGCCGCAGTACCCAACCAGCACATGTAAGACCCAAAGGGGGAGGAGGCAAACCCAGTAGGGGAGCTTCATGTGAGCTGCATCAGGGGAAAGCCAGACTGGGTTAACTGTTCCTACTGGTACATGCATAAGCCAGAGTGGATTGGGCTCTGCTGCAGCATCAGCAGGCAGATGCTGGCACGTGGGCACAAATTCTGTCAAGTTAAACTGCAGAACCACCTGGAGAGTGCAAGATCTGAGAATGGGCCCTGTAGGGAAATAGTGGGCACCTCCCTCTTGGGTTGCCAGTCCTACTGGTGAGCATGAGAACCAAGACTGGGGCAGGCATGACTAGACTGAGAGTGGCAACCACCAACAGGTGTGTGGATTGGATAGTGTGGCTAATTGGGTTGAATTAGGCCTCAATGTGCACTAACAAGAGAGCTGATTGGAATGTGGGACAGACTGGACCAGTCTGCTGTACATACTGGCAAGCACAGGAACCAGTGCAGGTGGTGGACCTGGTGGGGGTTATTGTGGATTGCTCCAAATAGGCTGCAGCTCCCACTTGTTTGCATGAGGACCAAGTGTGTGGTGGGCAGGATTGGGCTGGGCTCCCTCACCCATTAGTTAGCATAAAAGACAAGGCTAGAGGCAGAACTAACCCAGCAATTCCAACTACCAGTGTGTGTGACAGAATGTGCTGGACCCTGTATTGTCAAGCACACACAAGAATCATTTCTGTCATTACCTCAAATGAAGTTTCTGTGGGAATCTCCACAACTGAATTGCTGGACTCAGAGCAACAGCCTATGCAGGTGCACATGGAGGATATGGTAGTACATTGGAGTCTATCAGAACAGTGGACAGAGGACAGAACCAATTAATCAACTACCCCATCCAAGTGTTGGCAGTCAATATCTGGGCAAATGGAGACTCTAAGGTGGACTATGTGAACCCATGGATTCTGTAGAGATTTAATTATTCTTGGTATGGCGAGATCAACAATAATTCCAGAACTGTTGAACTATCAAAACCTTTTGAGCTTGCCTTGGATCTTGCCCCATATCAGGGGCCCTGGGATGGCATTGGGTGATTGTCCTCCATCCCAGGATATGGAGGTGGTTGGGAGGCTGGGTTGGCTGCTCCTCTTATTTCCTCCCTTCCCCCAGATGCAGGAAGGAAAAAAAGGAAAGAGAATGTGGAAATAATGGTCTCACCCACCTTTCTGTAGCCCTTGACCCCTTGCACCCTAATCAACTTTGTAAAAATCATCAAAAATAAAAATAATTATCTTTATTTTAAACACCTTCAATTGTAATGCTCTAATTTCATTATGTTCTTCCCTCTGCATGCATGAGGGGGAAGTGACTCAAGCATATGTGGTGCCAGCTTTTCCCTCCCAGGCCTTCCACCTGCAGGAAGCTGGGATATGGAGTCAGAGCCAGGATTCCAGCTCAAATATTCTGTTAGAACAGCAACAGTCCCGACCAGAATCTGAATTTCTAGGCCAAATATTATCACTCCTTATCTCAATTGTGATGTTGTCATTTTCCTTTTTAGCTAATAACAATTTTCCTTAATTGATAAAAAAAAAGTTGTTCTGTGAGAATCTGAAATGTGTGATTTATTTCTTGGCCTTAGGAAGATACAGATGATTATTTATGACTGGGTTTCTTCGGATCTGTTTTCAATGGGGCCAAACTTTGGTTCTTGAAGCACTTCAATTTTCTGAAATAAAGTTTAATGGTGAAGAAAAAGAAATTAAGGCCCAGTACAATGGCTCAGTAGCTAAATCCTTGCCTTACATTCACAGAATTCCATGTTGGTGCTGGTTTGTAACCTGGCTACTCAAGTTCCCATCCAGCTCCCTGCTTGTGGCAGTAGTAGATGGCCCAAGACCTTGGGACCCTTAACCTGAGTGAGAGACTTGGAAAAAGCTCCTGACTCCTGGCTTCAGATCAGCTCAGCTCCAGCCATTGTGGCCACTTGGGGAGCGAGCCAGTGAATGGGAAGATTTTTCTCTCTGTATCTTTTTCTCTCTGTAAATATGCCTTTCTGATAAAAATGAATCAATCTTAAAAAATAAAAAAATATTATAGAAAGAGGATAAGGAAATCAGAATTACTCATATTGAAGAGCAGCTGGGAATAGTTTTGTTGAGGTGGTGGGGACAAAACAGCAGAGAATCTTAGTCAGTTGCCATGTTCCATAGAACTGAGTTAATCATGTTGCTAGGCAATAAACCTAAACTTAATCCACTGAGAGACAAAATAAAAAAAGGTTTTGAGATTTCCCTTTGTCATCTGAAATCCCAAACAAAAATTTTTGCTCAGAGGTTGGGTGTCACAACAGATCTGTCACCATGTAAGATCATGGGAAACATCACTCATCCTTGTGTAAGTCATGGAGAGGGAAAGAGAGAGAGAGAGAGGGAGAAGGAGAGGGAGAGGGAGAGGGAGAGAGAGAGAGAGAGAGAGAGGCCTGAGAGGACAATTGTGGGGTGGACATTTCCCACAATGGTTAATTCACTACTTGGAGTGCCTAGATCTCATGTGGGATTGCCTGGTTCAGACCCTGGCATCACTTCCAACTTCCTCGGCCTGCTTAATGCACTCCCTAGGTGGCAGTAGGTAATGGTTCAATTAGTTGGGTCACTGCCATCCACTTGGGAGAATTGGGCTGAGTTCCTCTTTCCTGGCTGACCGACTGACTGTTTCAGGTATTTGGAAAATGAACTGCAAATGGAAGATCCCTTCTCTTCTCTCTTGCTCTCTTTCTCTCTCATTTCTTCCTCTTTTCTTGTAAATAAAAATAAAATAAAAAATTGGAAAGGAGCATTAGCATTTGTGCATACATGAATGCATAAACACAAACATAAAAATCACTGACCATAGTATGTAAGGCAAAAAAGAATACTGGGCACCACACTGTGTTTCCACGTGTTTAGTGATCACAGTGAAGAACAGAATAACATTAGCAGAAAAGGAAGCAATCAGAGCCGTTTTCTTTTGCATCCTTTCACAGAAATGATGTGAGAGGTTGATCTAGTCTAAGGGAGAAGTAGAAAAATATCATAATTTTGCTGGCCATCAGCTGATTTGGAAGTGGCTTCCTATGTGATAGGAAATAGATAGATAGATAGATAGATAGATAGATAGATAGATAGATAGACAGACATGTTTTAAATGTAAGATATTGAATGCAATTGTACAGATTTCTTTGCCCAAACTATTCTACATTTATATTCTACATAATCATCTTGTCTACTCTCGTATCAATCATCTATGTTTCCAAGTATGTAACATAGTGTATACAGATAATGTGTTTTCTGATGTTTGATGCAAAAACAAAGTAACAAATCAACATAGCTAGCAGGTGTTGCATTAGAACAGGTTTCTTATTTTCACAAATATGTGATAGTACTTTGTATTAATGAAGTCATATTTTTGTATATGAATTTTTCACAGGAGCTCTATATAAACAGTCTTATTTGTTAGATAAATGCATTTGAGGCCAATCCTTGGATCTGGTGCTTTAAAATTTTATAATTTCCAGATATTTTGATGCCATTATCCCTGCACACAGTATTACCGCCTCTCAGGGGTTTTCCTTTTGGGGGAATACACTAACTTTCCTTTTCTTTATAACAACACTTTGTTTTTTGTATTTTCCAATCTTCCACTGTTATTTTCCTGGAAGCTTAGATTTTGTTTCATTTTATGTGACCTAAAACTTAGAAAAATGTTATTTTTCCTATGAGTAAAATCAAATATAAATATTATTGAGTAACGTTTCTCATGCCAAGGGACCACGCCTTCAATGCCACTATTGTTTATTGTTTTAATGAATGAAGATGTCCTTTTTAACACACATTAATACTCTTGAAGGACAGTTGCTGCCTTTGATGGTTTGCAGTTTAACAGGACTATATGAATATAGGACAATAATATCTTTTTATATAGAATCATGAAGAAAAATATGTATGTATATGTATATGTGTGTAGGGGAATCTACTACATATCTCTCTTGAGCCATATGATTCAGTAATTTATAATTTCAAATTGAAATTAGGACCTATTTATGTTTATTCCAATTTAATATGCATGAAAAATATTCTCACAGAAACACAAGATATTTTCACCCTTTCATAAGATCTTTGTAAAAATTTCTTTGCAGAAATGTCTACACTGACGAGTGGTCTTTCCAGGTTTGTGGAAAATGTGTATAGTGAAAGAACTAGGCACAGACTTCAAAGTTTCGGCACCAAAATGTCCCATTAATGCAACTTTCCATACAGTTTTTGAAGTTTACTTCTCTTCAAGTGTTTGGGCAATAGTATAATGAATCCAGGTGTTATTCATCTGGGTTCAGTTTTTCTTAACCTGTGTCCAACTGTTACTCTTCTGTACATCCACCTTCTATCTGTGTCTCCATTGTTGAAGTGTAAATCCAGTGCAGTATATTGATTCAAGAGTTAAGTGAAACACTAGTCCATTGTAACCCACACCCTGTTCTTCCTCCTCCATGCTCAACTGCTCATAATACCACTCCTGACTCTGTCCTGGTTTTTATTTGGTCTTTCAGTTCTGCTTCTCTGATGGATTGGCTATGCCAGAAGACACACCATCAAAGGTCAGACTGCAGACAAGCAAGTCAGAGGACAAACAGGACCTCCTGCCTTTTCCTCCATTTCTGCCATGCAAAAATTCATATGGCATGAGGCCCCGGGGCATCTGATGATCTTGACGGAGGTGTTTCTCCTCCTTTCTGGATGGCCTCAAATTGGACATTCTCAACATTATAGCCACCCAGAAGTAGTAATACCCATGAGGGTGACTGGCACTAGGAAAGGTGTGAAGACTCCAGGCTGGCTCTCCTATAGCCTGCACTTTGGGGGACAGAGACACATAATCCACATGAAGGCCAAAAAGCTGTTAGTATCCACGTACTTCCCAGTGTTCACCTACACAGACCAGGGTGCTCTTGTTGGAGATGAACCTTATGTTCAGGATGACTGCCACTTCCAAGGTCATGTGGAAGGAGACCCAGAATCCATCATTGCTCTTAGCTCCTGTTTTGGGGGCTTGCAAGGAATGCTAAAGATAACTGATGCTGTGTATGAAATTAAGCCAAAGAGGTTTTCTACCAAACATGAACATCTAATCTATAAACTGAATTACAATGAGACAGAATTCCCATCCATGAAATGTGGATTAACAGAACAAACAGCACGGCAATTAGCATTTCAAGAGACTAATAATTTCCCTCTCAGGCAAATCAGCTATGAGGGCTGGTGGACGCACAGATGGTTTGTTGAGCTGGCAGTGGTAGTAGACCATCAACGATTTCTTCACAGGGAGAGTAATGCTTCTGGGGTGCTAGTGGAGGTGTCTCTCATTCTAAATGAAATAAATGCCTTTTATAGTGCAATGGATGTTGATTTCAGTTTATCTGGACTTGAGATTTGGAATGAAGGCAACCAACTGCAAGAAAATGATATGGAACAATTTTTGATAACCTTTTGTCAGTGGAAAAGAGTAGCCATTAATCACCGAATACCCCATGATATTTTACATCTATTTATAAAGCAGAACTTTGGTAAATATGTTGGCCTAGCATATGTTGGAACAATATGTCATCAAAATTACAACTGTGGAATTAACAAGTTTGATGTAGATGAATTGTTTCCACTTGCACATACCGTGGCACATGAGATTGGTCATAATTTGGGTATGGCACATGACGATCATACATGTACATGTGGGAAGAGCACATGTATAATGTCTCCAGCAGAAAATGATTCAAATTCTTTCAGCAACTGCAGTTATGCCTCCTTCTATGAAATATTACTTAGAACATTCTGCATGCACAATCTACCTTATCTTTTGAAGACAGACAGACAGTGTGGCAATGGTGTGGTTGAAGAAGGAGAGGAGTGTGACTGTGGATCCTTACAAATGTGTACACATGATCCTTGTTGCTTGACAAACTGCACTCTGAGACCTGGGGCAGCTTGTGCCTTTGGGCTTTGTTGCAAAGATTGCCAGTTGAGGGCATCAGGTGAAGTATGCAGAGAAAAGGATAATGAATGTGATCTTCCAGAGTGGTGCAATGGAGTTTCACAGGCATGTCCAGATGATGTCTATATGGAGAACGGATACAAATGCTTAGACACTGGCTTCTGTTACAAAAAGAGATGTAATGTCCGTGATGAACAGTGTAGACAAATTTTTGGCAAGAAAGCTAAGAATGCAAATCTAAAATGCTACAGAGAAATCAATAGCCGTGGTAACCGTTTCGGTAACTGTGGGAACGAGAGTGGATCATATATAGGATGTAATATCAAAGACATTCTGTGTGGAAGAATTCAGTGTCAGAACGTAACGAGTATCCCGTATTTGAAGGAACATAGTACTGTGCATTTTATTCACATCAGTGGCCATGACTGCTGGGGCACTGACCACCATTTTGGGATGCCCATATCTGACATTGGTGATGTGAAAGATGGCACAGAGTGTGGAGAAAAACATATGTGTATTCACAGGAGCTGTGTCTCTGTGGAACGTGCAACACATCTTTGTTCACTTAAGAGATGCCATAAGAATGGAGTCTGCAACAATAAACATCACTGTCACTGCAACTCTAACTGGGCCCCACCTAGGTGTGAAAGAGAAGGCAGTGGGGGTAGTATTGACAGTGGCCCACCCCCTCATAGAAAACTGAAGAAATCTACAGTGCAGAGTTACGTGACCCTATTTTTACTGTCTCCTTTTTTGCTTTTGTGTTGTTATTTCATTATTTCACTCTGTAGGAGAAAAATTAAGGAAGAAAAAAGAAAAGAAGCTCCACTTGTGGGAAAGCAGAGTGCTGAGGCCCCGCCTGAGTCAGGGCAGGATGCTGCCGCTCCACTTAGTGGAGAGGGTACAGAGGCTCCACCTAAGGAAGAGGAAGATGTTGAAATGGCACCTGACATGGAGCAGAATGACCAAAATCCACCTGAGATGGAAGAGGAAAAAAATCACAATTGAAGAAAAGAACCCCAGTCCTAAGGGAATTACCCTTGTATTTGTTTCTGGTGTGGTGGCAGAAGAAATGTCATTGCACATGTCAGAGAAGATTAAGGAACACCGAAAGATCCATTACACCATACAATCATAAACAGAGGCTAATAAATGAACATTAAATCCTAATAGATTCTGAATTTTAATTCATTTAGGAATTTTGGAAGTATATTTTTTATGCAATGAGTCTCTCTCTCTCTCTCTTTCCTGATCAAAGTCACTACCAAGAACAGGATGTGTAGGGGTTCATTTGGTATCTCTCAAGTCCAAACCTCCTTTCCCTTTTCATCATGCTTTGCAGCATGGGCAATAGGAAATGATGAACAGCGTTCCTTCTTCACCAGTCCTCCGTTAGTTTCAGCTGATAGAGAAGGAGCTAGAGAAAGAATGAAGACCTGACAGAACTGTTTATCTGCTATTAGATCCCTGCTTTCTCAGTGCTGGCATTCCCCCAGGCAGCAACACTAGCTTTCAGGCTGCACATTAACACTATATACAAACAGGGATCAATGACCAGGATCTACAGTAGCATCAGCCCCACAGTTTCCAGCAAGTTTTCAGAGTTTTGAGGCTCAGGTCTGTGAGTTCTCACCAAACTCCATCAATTGGCTATACTGTATTCATTCCAAAGCTCTAGGTTTAAGGAGTCCCACCTCTTCACTTGGATCTCCAGTCCTTCCAGTGATCACTAGAAGCTAGGGTTAGCAGAGTGATATGGGTTCTTATTGTTTGACTGGTCTCTGGGTGATACAGAGTTCACCAGGGTACAATGAAGAAAACATGGAGGAGTCAGACTGCAGAAGGATTTGCCATAATGGGAGATGACTTAAATATAGGGAAAACGTCCTCAGATACTTCTGCATTCTCCTGAACTAGAATTTTTTTTTCACTAATGCTAAACATCTTTTTAGCGCCCAGGGCAGTAGCCTGGTGACTAAAGTCTTTGCCTTACATGTGCCGGAATCTCATATAGGTGCTGGTTCACGTCCCAGCAGCCCCGCTTCCCATTCAGATCTCTGCTTGTGGCCTGGGAAAGCAGCCGAGGATGGCCCAAAACCTTGGAACTCTGCACCGGTGTGGGAAACTCGGAGGAAACTCCTGGATCCTGGTTTCAGATTGACTCAGCTCTGGCCATTGCGGCTATTTGGGGAGTGAATCAGTGGATGGAAGATCTTCCTCTCTGTCTCTCCTCCCCTCTGTATATCTAATTTTCCAATAAAAATAAATAAATCTTTTTTACAAAGATCTTCTAAAACTATTACATATGTATTTTGAAATACATATGTATATTTAGAAATACAAATATTTAGAAATACATATGTAACAGTCTGCTTTGCACTGCTCTAAAAATACTTGAGATTGGTCACTTTAGAAAAATAAATAAAACTTACATAAATATAGGTTCTATTTACACATAAAAATTTATACACCATTTACATAAAATATATATAATCTATTTGTCTCATGATTCTTATATCTGAAGGTTCAAACAGCATAGCACTGGGTCCAGGGCAGGTTGGCTATACCACAACATGAGTAGGTGAGTTAGGATTAAGCAGAAAGTACCTGTGAGAGCACGGAAGCCAGCTGCGAGAGCTCAATTACTTTACAGCAACCCCCTGCTGTGAGTACACAGCTACTCCTGGAGAGCTAGAGCCCCTCCAGAAACCACTCACCCCTTTTGGTAGCCAGCCACAAGGGTCCGTCCTCTTAGAATGCCACTAAATAGTCAACGTCAAGTAGAGTTGCTGAAAGAAAAGCTTCACTTACCTGGGTGGCAACAGAGACAATGGGAAGATGTAGTTCCTTAAAGAAACTGCCTTCCCTAAGAAGCGGTTCACAAGGTTTTTAGAGCAAAGGTTATAGGATAATCCAGGATGCAGAAAGGGCAAGTGGGAATGTCTTTCTTGTTAAAGTAACATCCATCTTTATACATCATACGTTTAGAACTGTTCTGGATTCTGACAAGTTTCCTTGGTGAACTGTTGCACTGGCTTCCTTCTGAGAACAACACTGCCAGATAAGCACTTCTAGAACACCCTCTGAAAAAACAAGCTCAAGGAAGTAACTTGTTTCAGACTTTCTACTCTTGTTCCAGGGTCACCCTTTTGCCTAAATCCTACATTCTCCCTAGAGTTCCAAGAATGGTGCCCCTGATAGGGTCTCCAGGGATGCCTGGGAAAGAAACACACACACACACACAATAGTCTAGGAGCCCTGATGGGAACTCAGATTGAAGAAACACATACAATATAATCTTCAGACTTTGATTATACAATATAATCAATTAAATGGACTTATTTTGAGCACACTGTGAACTTCTGTGTAAAACAGTATATTCCAATCTTAGTCACCTGATTTGTGTGTGTAGAACAACTCTACATAACCTAAGGGGTGTCTTGCAAACTGTAGACTCTATCAGTGGCCCGCAAGCCATGTTGTATCCCCGGACACAACATACATTTAAAAATCAGATATAGTATAGAAATACAGGTTTACTTACAGGTTACTGTTAACCTTTCTTAAATATAAAATGATATGAAACAGTCCATCAAATTGACCTTCCTCCACTCATACACACAAGCATACAGCAAATAATGGATTACGGTGTTTGAAGCCACTTTTGTCCAGTTCCGTTTGGTTGCCCAGGTTGCTTTAACTAATGCTGGGATGTACTCATTGAGTCATATTTTAAACCAGTGTTCTCTGCAATCCTATTCGCGCCTCAAAGTCTAAGCTCATTGGAACTAGATAAAGGGGCACTGTCAGGTTCAATTTACTCAAGATTACTGCCTCAACAATACTTCAAAGATTTTCTTCACAAAATTCATACAGGAGTGTTAACACATGCATTCAAATACAACGATTATGATTCTGATGATGGTGCACAATCGAATCATACTGCTACTAAACCCCTTTGTATGGCTTCCACACGAACAAGGAGAATTTCTCACGGGAACAATGCTTCTGCAGTTTTTTGAAAAGTATATACTAAGCTTCATGTTTGTTTAAAAATTAACAAGTAAAATAGTGCCCAAAATGAAATACTCTACTAAAATTTTACAGAACTAAACTATTGAAATTATAGTGAATGAATAAGTCACTTTTATGGAGTTAAAAAAAAAAACGATTTTTGGAATTTTCATTGGCTATGTAAGTATTAGAGAAGATGTTTAATAATTGCATCCCAAAACTTAATGCAACCAGCATTGTGTATTGCTGCCTGGATCAGTATTTTTTGTTTTTAATAAATTTAGTATTTGAAATACTCTGTATGCCCCACAATCTCCCTCCTCCTATTGTCGTCACCCAGTATTCAACATGCAAGTAGATTTCATTTTTGGTGTTACCTGCTTGATCTTGCTAGAAGCTGAGATTACAATCTCTTCATTGAAACAAGGGAATCAGCATATTTTCCTGAAACCCAAACTTAGATGCATTTAATAATGAATGTGAATGTACTTTTGTGAACCAATATGGATGGCCATACTTATTTAATTATGACATGGTCAAGCCTGTAATATATTAGTTTCAAATTCTTTCTCTTCCCTCCTTAAAAAAAAATCTGTGTATTTGAAAGGCGATGCCTCCAGCTTGAGATTTTTTTCCCCTCAATATAACTTCAGCTAATCTTGGTCCCTTGTGATTTTGTATGAATTTTAGGATTTTTTTTTCCTGATTCATTAAAGAATGTCATGAATTGGTTCATAGGGTTTGCACTGAATCTTTACACTATTTTGGATAGTATTTGGCACTTAAATGACGTTAATTTTTTCAAGTCATCAGCAAGAAATATCTTTCCAAACTTTTGTTTTCTTTATTATTACTCATCAAGGTTTTATGATTAGATAACTAGATAGAAAAAGAGAGACCTTCATTTCTTAAAAGTTTAACATATCTTAGATATATTTCTGTGGTTTGTCAATGGGATTTTCATTCTTGATTTCTAATCCAGGAAGACTATTATTGGTTTAATAAAAGTATTATTGGTTTTTATATGTTTATTTTGTAACCTGTAACTTCACTGAACAGTTTTTACCAGTTTCAATATTTTTTTGGTGCAGTGTCTGGATTTTTCCAGGTGCAGCAATCAAGTTGTCTACATAAATATTTTGGCTTCTTCCTTTCCAATTTTGTTGTCCTATATTTTTTCTTTCCACATTGGTCTTCTAATATTTTCAATATTGTATTGAAGATGAGTGGTTAAATTAGAAATACTCTTATCTTCTTCCAGATATGAGGGGAAATTTTTTAAGATTTATTTTTTTATCTGAAAGTCATAGTTAAAGAGAAAGATATCCATCTGCTGGTTCACTCCCCAAATGGATGCAGTGGCCAGAGCTGGGCCCATCCAAAGGTAGGAGCCATAGCTTCTTCCAAATCTTCCACATGGGTGCAGGGGCCCAAGTGCTTGGATCATATTCTTTTTTGTTTTTTAAGATTTATTTATTTATTTATTTATTTATTGGAAACGCAGATATACAGAGAGGAGGAAAGACAGAGAGGAAGATCTTCCATCCGATGATTCACTCCCCAAATGGCCACAACGGCTGGAGCTGAGCCAATCCAAAGCCAGGAGCTCTTCCAGGTCTCCCACTCGGATGCAGGGTCCCAAGGCTTTGGGGCATCCTCGACTGCTTTCCCAGGCCACAAGCAGGGAGCTGGATGGGAAGCTGGGCTGCCGGGATTAGAACCAGCGTCCATATGGGATTCCGGGCATGCAAGGGGAGGATCTTAACCACTGCGCCACCGCACCAGGCCCAGACCATATTCTTTTGCTGTCCCAGGCTCATTAGGAAGGAGGTGGATTGGAAGTAGAGCAGCTTACATTAGAAAAGGCATCCCTATAAGATGGCAGCACAACAGATGGAGGTTTTATGCACTATGCCACAGTTTGGGCCCTGGTGGGCGGGGATATTTTTAGCTTTTCTCCATTCAGTTTGGTGTGGTTTGTGGATTTGCAATAT